GAAAATTGCAAGCAGAAGAACTGGTTAAGAAAGCATATATATTTTTACAAATCGAAAAGGTCTAACCTACATAAGTTTGTAGCCAACATACCTCAAATGAATATGTTATGCCTCAAGCAAAGCCTGTAAATTTTGCTCTTGGTGTTCATATTCACTCCAACACCATACTCGATCCACCCGTACCCTAAACTAATAAAGATGCATGCAATCATATATGTCCATGACTTTGTGAAAATTTGTAAAATGTTACTGAACCTCGGAGACAAAAGATTTTTATTCTTTTGATGGAAGAGTAATGTCAGATAACTAATATGTAATAGCTAATTAGAGTAAGTATAGTTTTACTTATCTATCTAAATATATAGTGAGATTAGGATTGTGGTAAAAAGCGTGTGCTATGTTTTTTTATTGTTTCCTCTGAGCAGTAAAGAAAATGGATTTATATGATTGGAAATATCAACAGTGATCTCTATTGCATACAGAAATTACTTTCACTGCCACTGTGGTCTGAAAAAACTCTGCCAAAGGAGGAAATAAAGGAGAAAACAAATTGGAACAGATGCCATACTTCTGTCACTCACTCTCTCTTCAGGGTAATAGTTATACACACACGCATTAATATTTATTTTTCCATAACCTATATATACTGTATATAAGAAATATTGTAGAAGAAAAAAAAATTCCTATTTACAAATTTCTGTACGCCGCAATTCATTTTAATTGACTTCACCGGTGGCCCATATGCAATTATTTTTTATTTTTTTCAATCACGACAAATTATAAAAATTTAGCAATACTAAAAATAGTAGTACAACTTTGCATTACAAATTTACAAAAATTTCAGCGAATTAGTACTAATTACAAATTAAAAAGTGAGTGAGTGAAAGTAAAATTCTAAGAGAGACGTATTGAATAAGAGAGAGAGAGAGATGAATTTGAAAGAAACCTCGAATTTGGACTATTTCTGCGTATATATCCCCACTCTATTGCTTGCAGACACATTTTCACCATACCTTCTCCTCTCATAGTCTAGTGATGTCACAATCTCAACCTCTTTAGTGTATACAACAACTTTTTTTACTACAAATTGTAGTCTACATTCTGTATGCATTAAGAAACAAAAAAAAAAAACAGATAATTGGCTGTTAATTACGCTCATCCATTTAATATATATTACATTCCTTTTTTTTGTCAAGTATACATTACATTCCTTCAACCTATATATGTACTAATCAATAATATAGAATATCATACTTATAAGCCATGAATCAGAGAAACTAAAGTTTCAGTTTAGTAAGTGTTTGAGACTTTGAGTAGTTTGATCACATCTTGTATGTACGTAGACCATATTGGGTACTGGAAAAATAATACTGAGCTTGTGCTTAGGAAATACAATTAGACTGTTAGTATGGGACAAGTGAATGAAGAAGGTAGAAGTAACATGAAAACATCAAACGATCGCTTAAATAGTTTTTCCTCCGTTTTTTAACTGATGTTTTAGAAAAAAGTTGTTTATGAAAAAATATTCATATATATGAATAAAAAACCACGCGACTTATGGTGCATATATTACATATTTAGGTTATATATACTATGATAATTAGTATTACGAACTGTTAACATTCGTGAATTGAAAACATTTGTAAAGTTACCGGAGTACTACCGAGTACCATCTCTACTTAACAGAATAATTACACTTACCCAATATTATAAATAAAGCGGTAGAATATTTGCCTATATATATATATATTTAAGTGGGCATTTGTTGATCTTTATGTAGATGGGGACCCACTGTACTTGCAGACAAAGGCTTTTAACAGAAGACTGGTGTCATATGGATTCTCTTCCCTTAATTCCCAAAATACCCTCCCACTATATCTCTTTTTATTTGCCTAATTTAGTTATAAAAAACCCACCCCAAAAAAATTCTCATGAAAATTTATCGGACCTCCGAATTTGTGAATAAACCTTCATTATCCTTGTCAATTTTAGAATCAGTCAAAACAAAATCGTATGTCAAGATAAGAACACTTTTGTTTTGTTGGAATTTATCTTCTTGCTAATAAACAAAAACGCCAACACACAATTTTATCTCTTCTACCTTTATATTATTTTAGTATGATTTATAGAGGATACAATTTCAGACTTGTTGTTTAAAAGTCACGCACTTAGATAGTATAAAACTATACAATTTTTTACATACTTCTATAATTAATTAGTTTGGGACAAAAAAAAAGTTGCTTATAGTGATCCACCAAGTTGCTAAGTGAAAGTT